GTACCTATATAGGGACTACATTGGGGCTATAATGTATATACTGAATGAGCACAGGGACTCTTCGGGCTTTGTAGCAGGCTCGCTGGCTAAGTCCAATTCCTCAATCATTGGGCCCTTATTCAGGATCCCTGCTACCTTCGGAAGTTTTTCAAAAAACAAGCGGCCCATGGGGTATGAAGTCCCGACGCCCGGAGCCTGCTAATTTCAATCGAAATCCCCGAACCCTACGAAACTCTATCCGCTTAAACCTCTTCGTCCAGAACCTTAACGCCCCTGACCCCCACGCTGGCCCCACACCCTGAATGCGTTAATTAACCCGATTTGTGTTTAAGCTTTTCCCGCATGGCATGTTGGCAGTTCCTTACGACACGATGGGTCTGCAGACTGCAGATCTCGCCAGAGCCTCAAGCTAGGAGGTGGCATAACTTATTCGGAGCAGTGTTTGTCAATCTGCCCTAGCTCAGGGTGTAGGTAAGAATTGACGGGATTTGGGGCTGTGGAAGCTGGTGGTTACAGGTTCTGCAACGGTCAGGTTTCGCCAAGTCCCGAATGGCAGGGTTTAGGGTTTAGGGAATGAAGTGTCAAAACATGAAAGTGTCATGACATTAGACTCTCACCCCTATAACCCAAAGCTCTTATGCTCGTTGGTTCGAAAGTACCTTGCCTTGGCGAAGAAGAGGTGTGGGCTTCAATGTAATTACCACACTCATAGCTTATAATTAGAAGCCTGGATACTTCGTACTATTCGTGCTTAGTGGTCTACTTGCTGCTCAGTCAACATGATAGCTCCTGCGGCTGCTCTAGCCCGATGTTAAAGTTTCGACCCTGGCTTTTTGCGCTTCTTCTCACGGCTATTACCTCCATTATTTGTGGTGAGAGCTCCTTCTCATACCTTGTGCCAAACTGTCTTTGGCCTAATTCCACGCCCTCCAGGAGGGTCCGGGGTCTGTAGAACGTACAGCTCAACCCTAGACCCTAGACCCTAAACCCTAAACCCTAAACCCTTAATGCCCCCAAGGAAGACCCTACACCGCCAGATCCTCAACTAAACGCCCTGTTCTAAAGCGTAAACCTCAACAAAGCCGTAGATTCAAAAACAAGCACCCTGCCCCCGAACCCCCAACCCCCCCCCCTAAACCACCACACCCTGAACCCAATAAGACCATAAAAAGCCCAACAGCAACTCCATAAACCCTTATTTCTACACCCAAACCTCAAACCCTAAACCCTANNCCTAAACCCTAAACCTGAAAGTGCTGAGATCACCAATCAGTGGCCCCTACGGTCTGGCGAAGTACGCCCCAAGGAGTCCCGCGCTGAGCAGGTTTAGGCTCTGCGGTTTCCTTTAAGAGATCCCTCTTAGGGTTCCCTTTAAGGGTTCCTCC